CTGACCTAGGGTGAATTTTAAATAGGGATAATTTTTAATGATTTTAATAATGTCACAGACTATAAATATTTGGTTTTAATTGGCTTTTATAGGGGAAATGTTGTGTTGTGTTGTTTGTGTTGTGTTATTTTAATATGCTGTGAGCCGCCCTGAGTCCCGTGGGGAGAAGGGCGGCATATAAATTATGAAAATAAAATAAATAAAATAAATAATGCAGTCACATTTACATTTGCATCAGTTATAGGTGGAAATTCCAGTGCCAGTTGCCGGCATAAGTCAAGGACTACTGTATTGTCTCTTTCAAGGCTCATGGATCATTCTTCCCCCAAGGAAGTGGATTTTATGTTATGGATCCAATGCCATGTGACCTCCCTAATCTCGCTAGCTAAGAGGGGTGAGATCTAATAAAAGTGATTGAGTTAGCACTTGAAAGTCCTGTTTACAGGATCAAATTCTTCCAACTAATGAAGCTGACCCTGCTCCATCTGCCCACAATCACACATCTAACACCCTCCCCAAATTCCTAGAACTCATGGCTGTCAGGCCTCCCAATCAACACACTACCCCTCCAGACACCAACTTAAATGTACTTATGCAGCAATCTTTAGAGCAGCCGTATAAAACCCATAGTAATAAATTTTGCTCTAGCTTTTTTCCTCATGTCTAGAGAATGTATGTAACAAACCCCAGCAACAATAAATCATATGTCCCAAGGCAAAGAATATAACAATAATTTGAATTAAAGCAATAAGAATACCAGAAGTAAAATGTTCACCTAAAAGGCAATCTGAAGGCATGTTTGAGCAGTTGTTCTGCAAATTTCTGGGTGGACAAAAATAAACTACAAAGGGAGAACAGCATTTCTTTTTGGAAGAGTGTATAATTTTGATTCCAAGTTAGTAGCCTGTCCTGTTGTTTTTTTCCAGGAATATGATTTTCCTTCTCTTTTACATTGCTGTTTATGGTTTATTGCTGGAGGGGGAAGGACATGAGCATATGAACATATCCTGGGACTCCTGTGTTTGACCTCAGATGTACACTATGCCAGAGTAACTCTTCTGCAGTTGAACTAATGTTGGTTTTCAGTAAGAAATAAGGTTTGGTGTTGTGCTTTGACAGGAACCCAGTGCTCCAGCTGATTCCAGCACATCTGAATCCATTTTGCTGGAAAGACTGGCTATGTACAAGGTTGCAGTTGCTAATGCAAAAGAAGCTGGGGAAAGTTCCAAAATGCGTCGCTATGAAAGAGGCCTCAAAGTAAGTCACTGAATATTTGCTGGGATAGATGTATTAGATCTTTAGTGTTTCTTAATAACATTAATAGGAAGCTTGTGCTGGAAAGTACTTTCATGCCTAGTACTTTGTGTTGTGAAAGTACTTCCATTGGAAGCCATCTTTAATCATAATCATTTTGTGTTTCATTGCCTAGTAGTACGAGTAAGTCTTTTTTTTTTTAGTGATAGCTGTGAGAGTGGCAAGTGAATGTCAGCTCTATACAGGATACTAGAGTACAGTAGTGATATGGTTAGCTATTGGGATCTTACCTGATCTAAGAATTAAAACTACAGATCTTGGCAAGATGCAGAACTTATGGAAAGACCTGGGTAAGGTTTACCAGAATCTTGGAGGTACTAACAAAGCTATAGCAGATGTGGCCAGAGGGAGGAAACCCAAGATAAAGATGGAACTTTGACCGATATGGAGAGTGTCACTTGAGTAACTGATAAATGAAATGGGAAATGCTTTTTTCTTAACTTCAGTGGTAGATAATCATTGTTTCCCATGAGGATTTTATAATGTTCCAGTCATTTCTGTCTTGAAGATCCTTTTGGAGTGGGTAAAGGATGTGAGTGTTACAAACCTTGTCCTTTGACTGGTGGCATACTCAATTTATGGATGAACCTGCAAGGTGCTGTTATTATATGATGTTTTTCCCCCAGACTATAGAAAACCTACTGACCTCTGTAAGGAAAGGCAAAAAGATTGATGAAGATGAGATTCCTCCACCAGTGGTTACAGGAAAGAGTAGTAATTGCCAGCAGGCTGCTTCTTTGAAGACCACTCCAACCTCACAACCCTCCACACCAGAAGAAAGTGAAGTGTTAACCAATCACTTTACTCCAGAGCCACCAGCTGCAGCCCTTGAACAATCAACATCTAAATCATCCCCTGGGTCACAGCTGCCTCCCAAAGTTCCACCACCGAAACTTCCAAAGCCAAAGATTTCTCCAACAACTGATCCACCACTCAAGTCCTCAGAAACACCACTGGAAACATCTGCCCCAACAGCATCTTCCCTTTCCTCTGGTTAGTACTGAACAATATGACCCAGCTTAAGGTGACCAAGAGAGGAAAGGTGTGATTTGTATTGAGAAATAGGATTTTCTGCAGCGGAAATGGGTCCTAAGGTTCAGTTTAGCTTTGATTCTGGATCCAGTACTGTTTTTAAGGAGTTGAGTATAAGGTAGTTCAAAGGACTAACTAAAATGCCACAAGAAAGTGACAAGCTTTCTAGCTCTCCAAAATCTCTGTCATCTCAGTCAGCCCAAAAACTAGGAAAGGAGAAAAAGCAGCAGAGAAATCTGTCAATTTTACCATGTGTCATGACTGTGAGGTCGATATGTCAACTGTCCCACTCAGTCATCTAGTAAAGAAAGAGATGCAGCCATGACACCATAGCAGATTCTCCAGGTTGGAAATTCCAGACTGACAAATTGAATTATACAGAAGAACTGTAAGAAGAAGGCAGATTTAGGTATAATCCTGTTGATGCTCATTCGGTCATGAAAATAAAACAGAAATAAGTCTGTAAAAGAAAATTAGAATACAGAATAATTACAGTAAGATGTTTTGCAGGACTTGGAGATCTCTGGATTAATATTTATACAAGCTAAGTACTTGTAATAGATATATAGGAGCGCGCTCTCTCTCTCTCTTATGTCTAGCTGTATTACTTTACTTTAGGACTGTTATTCGTATTAGGATCTTTTTTGTTAACATTCAGCATCTTAATGTCTGAGATTTAAATTTGATTTAATCTTCCTTGCATCCTTTTGAATTGCCTTGAACCTAATTTAGAATTAATTTTGTGTATAGCTAGGATTCTTCAGTTAGTTTCACCAGGCTACGTGTAGCCAAGATACAACATGCTTTTTATTCATGGACTAGGTCTGCTAATAGCAGCTGAAAGGATTAAAAAGGGTAGAATCAAAGCAAGCTTTATTTTTGTTCTTCTCAGATCCCATGCATTTGATGTCTCGTGTTTGATACAAACCACTTAAAAAAATCTGTTGCCAATCATAAACCTTTGAAGTTGGGCCAGAGCATAAATCACAGTAAAACCTTGTGCTAATATTTTCTTTTGGCAGTGTATAGCCTTAGCAGAACCACTGAGATCCGAAGAATAGCTTATGTACTCATGGCATATTCTTAAGTCACTATTCCTCTTTGCAAGTTGCTTTTGAAACAGAGGTGATTTTTGAAAAGCATCTGACATAGTTCATAATGGCCTGTTAATCAAATGCGGTGGGAATAGAGACATACAATTCTTGGAACAAATCAGTGAGGGTCTCTTATTCAGATCTCTTCATCAGATCACTTTGATAGGGAAGGTAGCATTGTAATCGCCATTAGTTTCTGATCTGTTGTATCAGTTCTATATTTTATGCAGCTTTTCCCACACCAAGTATAAACTTGTATGTCGCAGTACAAGTAGACAAGTAAATTGCAAATACATGTATCGTAATAGTGATTTGTTCAAATATTTATATATTTCTTGATTAAAGTATAGAAGCTGGAAAGCATAATAGCATGTCTCTCACAAAAGTAATTTTTGACTCTTCGCATCAGCCCCAGAATTTTTCCAAAAAGTGCTTTTCTTTCCTATGGCTGAGCAGTCACCCAGCTAATTTTGAGTCTATGTTGGGACTAGAATTCACAATCATCAAGTTTCTAACTCTATGTCTTAACTTTTACACTGAACTGGCTTTACACTTAGATGCTTACAATTATAAGCTGATTAATCACTGATAACTGACCCAATCAATATTTTGTAAGCATTTAATTTTTTTATTTCACATGCAGTGAAAGAAAAAATAGAAAAAGTAAAAGGATATAAAAAACAGTTATTTCTAACTGTTTTTGTGTTTTTATGGTTTTAACTGATGTTGTTCACCACCCAGTGTCAATTGGATTGAGATGGGCAATTACAGAGATTGAATGAATAAATAAACTGGATAGCTACCTTTAATTTTTCCTCCCATTCTTTCCCTCCTCCCTGCATGCTTTATTAGTTTAAAGATGGAAAATTCTGTGAAGGTTTTTATAATGGTTTTATTAAACATTGTAGTTAAGCAAATATAAACTAATGCAGACTACAAAAAATAAAAGAATAAAAAGAAAAAATAGTGCAAAAAAGAATTAAAAAAGAATACCAAAAAGAAAGAAAAAATAAGAAAATAGGAATAAGAAAGAGAAGAAATATCTAAAGAAGTGACTTCCTCCATACAATCAGAATAAACAATTTTATTGCTTTTTGTAAAAACACAACAAACAATCTCTTCATCCTCTATCTCATCTCTTACCTATAAACCAATCCTTAAAACCTTGTCATTCAGTCTTAGTCAGCAAAAGTCCATTAAGGAAAATTTTATAAAGTTACCTATGATCATGGACCTTGTATAACCTGAAATTCAACAGATGTTAATTCAACCTTTTTTGGCTGGAGGAGTTAGATGCTCCTTCATGTGAGGCAAACTCTGGGGTCATGCCAGTGTGGCTCTAATTGGGCCCCATACATTCTGCTCCTTCCCCATCTCATGATTTATATTTTTATTGTGATTAGATATAATATTTCTTATGATTTTTAATGTAAGCCACCCAGAGTCGCTTCGCATCAAGATGGGTGACAAACAAACGAACTGCAAGGCTGAGAAAGGCCTGCTTGCCTGCCGGGCCTTCCCCAGTCTGTGAGCCTCGCAGTTCATGCAGAGTGGTGAGCTTGAGTCGGACTCCTGCTGAACCGCGACTCAGGAGCCTGGAGTTTTGAAGCACCAGAATTAGTATTTGGGGGTAACTTAATTTTTTGTGTGCTTAGTTTATCTTCTGCGCAGAGTATGCACATACATGTACTTGTTCAGTAGAGTGCATGCACATAAATGCATCCTTAAATGGGTACATAGATTGTGACAGCATCTCTCTTTGTCCTCAAGCTGTCCTGCAAGCCAGAATACGGGAATATAAACTGGCCGCCCTGCGTTCTAAGCAAGAAGGCGACATTGAAATGGCCACCAAATATTACCGCCTGGCAAAGGTAGGTGTGTTATACCTGCTGGATAGTTTAAGTATACAGTGAATTAGACTTTAATATGGCTTGCTTGGTTTGGCATAACATGGGAATCCAGCTGCAATATTTTGTAATCCATGTGTGAGCCAGTCATGACTTGATGGATAAAGTATAATTTTACAGAAAGATATAAACCAGACCAATGTATGGGGCAGGAACAAAAGCAAGAATCTGTATAGATTGGGTTTTGCTCTATATTCTGGGATGGCTTATATTCAGGTATATAATTTGATTCTGATGTCTGTGGAGATTCTCAGTAATCCAGGTCACAGTTGTGTTTTTTCAGGAGGCAACTGGACTTTCTTGTTTTTCTTTGAAGACGTTTCACTTCTCATCCAAGAAGCTTCTTCAGCTCTGACTGGATGGTGGGGAATGGAAGGCTTTATACTTCTGGCAGACAACTAGTCATTTGCATTCCTTTAAAGAGTTATTGAGGCCATTTTGGAGGTCCTCAGGGCCACCTGAGTAGTGCAAATGTGTGTGGAGCCTTCTTGGCTGCAGGATGTTTTCTGCCCTGTGTCCCTTCATTGTTGAAGATAGGCGCAGGCTGTTGGGGATGAGTCTGTGTTGTCTGCATCTCAAACTGAAGTGCAAATTTGATTCCGATTTGAGTCACTTAGGACTGACATCACTAAAATTAGAAGGATGCCTTTGCCTGAATTGTCCAGTTTTTATGGCAGCCATGCAAAAGCAGCTATTCAGATAAGAGCTTATGTAGTATTTTGGCTTAGGGAAAGTCTGTGTTTCTAGCCTCTGTACCGTAATTCTACTTTCATATTCTCCCCTTTGGATAACAAGGATCTGTCTGCCGGGCTGGTAGTACAGGTAACAGAGACAATGAATGAGGAATGTTTCTGTAGGTAGGATATAGGATATAGCTGACTCAGGAATTCTGGGAGTTGAAGTCCATGAGTCATAAAAGAGCCGAGGTTGCCTACCCCTGATATAAAGCAACTGCTGTATTTCCTCTCTTTCTTGGCAACCTCTCTGATCCACCTTCTTATGAAGTGGTTGGCAAGATTCAGATTATAGGTTTCATGCTTTTTTCATCTAAAATTCAAGTGTGAAATTTAATTGCTCAGTTACAGTAGTTTTTTATCCAAGTATACAGGCGACCCTCGACTTCCAATTGGGACGGGAATTTCTTTTGTAAATTGGGGCGATCATAAAGCGACTTATCATGTAACCGGATGTGATTTTATTACCATTTTTACTGCAGTCTTTAAGCAAATCCAGCTTCTCCAATGGACGTTTTTTGCTGGAAACCAGTATAAAAGGATGCAGAGCGTAATTACCTGACCCAAATTGCAATCATGTGACCATAGGAGGTGGTGCAGTGGCATAAATGGAACTATAGGTCATAAAGCACATTTTCTGAGGCCATCATAAATTTGAACTGTTGTTAAATGAGGAGTTGTAAGCCAAGGATGATGTGTATAGAAAAACAAATACTTAATTGCTTGTATTCATGTTTTTCAGAGTTTTGAACCTATTTTAGATTCTCTTAATAAAGGAGAAGCTATGGATCTCAGCAATCTGCCGCCACCTCCAGGTGAGAATGGAAAATAGGCTGTATTTGTCTTAGGCATTATCTTTGTTGAGAATTTGATTATATAGATCAGGGGTCTTCAAACTTGGCCCTTTTATGACTTGTGGACTTCAACTCCCAGAATTCTTCAACCAGGCACACTGGCTGAGGAATTCTGGGAGTTGAAGTCCACAAGTCATAAAAGGGCCAAGTTTGAAGACTCCTGATATAGATCATGCAGCAGAAAGTCAAATCAGATGGCAGTGAAGATAGTAAGTCTTGTTTCTTTTAGAGTTTCACTATCAAATGCCTGCATTGAAACATGAAATGCCAGTCAGATTACTAGATGAAAGTAAGCGGAAGCTTATTGATTTGTTCCTTAACCCAAAGTATGGAATAATGCCCAAACAAGATATCAGTTATCATAATAGCTAGGCATTCTAAAGCTGACATGCAGATCTTTACCAAAACTCTGGAATAATCCTTGAGCGACACATGCTTTTCATCTAGGTATAGGCAGGGAAGTTGATATGGCTCCTAATTTCTCAGCAGTCTTCAGGACATAAAATATTTTCAGTGGAAATAAATATTAGGGAATTCAGTAGCCTAGCTTTTGATGAGGATATGTTTCTGATTTACACAAAGGTTCTGTGACACAGTAAGGCATGCAGAATTGCAATAGTCTGCATGACAGGTGTTTGGGACTTGTAAAGACAAGATGAATGTCTAATGAAATTTGATTCTTCTTTGTGGCTTCTGTGTTGTCCTAGCCATGGTCAATGAAAAGACAATTTTAGTTTTGTAATCTGTCTTAGCTTGATACCAATTCTTATGTCATCATTTCATGTTCTTATAAAGGAGAATATTTGTAGTTCATGGTTGACATGGAGGGTCTTTGGTGTTCTCTGAGCTTGCTTATTTTCTTGCAGACATTTCATTACCCAAACTAGGTAACATCAGATCAACAATCAAGTAAACAACATCCCAATCAAGAAACTGCCAAAGAAGCCAACAACAAACAGCCCAACCAAAGAATCTCTAAGACCACCTACACCAACACTGACAGAGCAAGCCACTAGAATATAAATTGATAGCAAACAGCACTCCTTACTAGCATTGATGAGATTACCTAGTTTGGGTAGTGAAATGTCTGCAAGAAAACAAGCAAGCTCAGAGAGCACCAAGGACCCCTCATTTCAGGTTCTTGCTAAGAATCCAAATTCTGCTTTTGTTTCTAACTTTGGCAGATATAAATGAAACTGACTCTAATGTTGAACTGCTTGGTCTGCTGCTTCAGTGCAATTTTAGGGGGTGTTGTGGTAGAAGGGGAAGTATTAAAGTTATATGGATATCACTTTGTAGTGTCTGCTTAGTGGTGAGAACTGAGAATTCTCAGCTGGAGAAAGATGGTGGAATCCTCAAGATTCATGTCCAGCTCAGAAATTTTATTTATCTGCAGAGTTTATGTCCTGACTTTTATTTGAATGATCTAAAGTCATTACATAGCTTGTAATAAAGCGGATTCTCAAGTCATATAATTCAGAAATTCTATCCAAGGGCAGAGACCACAATGTCCTTCCTTACATTCTACCATATCGAGCAACTGCATTGGAACAGAAAGCATTGTTAATCTATATTTGAATTGATCGGTATGCTTTGAGTGCCTGAGTTAGGAGGGGCTGGGAGGAAGAAGTAAATTAGGGGCTGTGGTGAAATGTAATCAAGGATTGCAGGAGGGAGGGGCTGTTTCCCAGAGGGCGAAGAGACAGTGGAGCTTGGAATGTCTGGTAGACAGGAAGAGAGCAAGGTTGGACCCAACCTAGCAATTCACAGAGTATACCTACAGTTATTGCAGGTAATTGCTTTAGTCTGGCAAGATTCCTATGTGTAGATGAACAACAATAAGAAGGCTACTCAGAAATAATTCCACATGTCGTTCTTGGTTCTTTGAGCCTGAGAGAGTTATAACTGCATCTTCTCTCCTGAGCTGAAATGCAGAGTCTTTTATTAGTTAGCTTTTTAACTTGCTTTAGTTGGTTATCTGATTTCCACAGATCAGTTACCCAAGGAGATGTTACCTTCACCTGTACAACAGAGTCTGGTGGCAACAGCAACACCACTTGCTCAAGCGGTAAATCATCCAACCCAAGCAGTCTCAAAGATAGCAGGTGGGAACTCCAAAACACTTTTGTTTTGTTCTTTTCTGTTTCTTGATGATAATGCTTCTTTATTTATTATTTCAGTTTGTATGACTGCCCATTTCAAATTCATTTAGGTATCTAACAGCAATTAAAAAAACCATAAAACAACAGATTACAATAGAAATAATATATATATACATAATCAACAGCTGAAGTAACAACCAAACCAATCAGCAACAAATCAACATAACCATTGCATGGGCTCTGCAACATGGCTGAGTCCCTCAGCTCAGTGAGACAACCGTGTCTTTAAGGCTGCACAGAAAGCCATCAGGGCCAGGACCAACCTAACCTCAGGGAGGAAGGGGATGTTGACCCAAAGGGTGGGCACTAAAAGAAAAAGGCAATATTCCTGGGTCCCACCGTATGGCACTTCCTAATAAATGGGATTGGGACCATGCCTTTTCTGCCATATCTGATAATCAGGGATGTGGTCCCTCAAATAACTTGGCTGCGTGCCATAAAGGACTTTATAGGTCTAGCCCAGGGGTAGGCAACCTTGGGTCTTTTATGACTCGTGGACTTCAACTCCCAGATTTCCTGAGCCAGCATGGCTGGCTCAGGAATTCTGGAAGTTGAAGTCCACGAGTCATAAAAGAGCCAAGGTTGCCTACTCCTGGGCTAGCCCAATAGGATAAGAGACTGTGGTCATGTTCTCTCAGAATAGATCGCCCTCTGTCATCCCAACCAAGAGTTCTTGTGGTGCATCCTTAATCCCCCAGAAAACCCACCCTCCCAGCTAGCTCCCCAAGTTAGAGGATCCCTGTGCAGTTCAGAGAGTTTGCAGTTCAATTTGACATATGAGTGAAGGGATATGTCCTGCTGCTGCTGCTGCTTTTTCCTTCTATGGTTAGCTTGGTGACTTTCCTACAAAAAGACATCTTGCTTCAGGGAACAGTCTGGACCTCTCAGACTTGATGTTTCAAATTCAGTTCTCCCAGAATTAATATATCTCAGACTAGGTAGTATTGGATTTCTCATTCAAATGATGACGAAATGGAAAACTAATAGAGAAAGTTCAAGGAGTGAAATTCATAGTTACCTAGCTTGATTTACTTGTGAAAAGGGTTGGAAACTTTCTAAGCCTATTGTATTTTGTTCCCTCTGTGTCTTAATAAGGCCAGCAGTGTCCCGTCACAGAACAACTATTTTATATAAAAGATATGGTTCTTTAGTTAAACCTTCCTTTGAGTCCCTGTGAATATAGGTAAGGGACATTTGTGCTTTTAATATTTAATATTGCTTCTAGGGAGGTACACTCGGTCGTGTGACCTTCCACCCTCAGTCCGAAGTGACCAGTCTTGGGTTTAGTACCTAGCGATCTAACCAGGCTCTTGTCTGCATATCTTCCTGGGTTCTTGAAGGCCTCACGCTTTTATAAGATACGTGATAGATCTTTTCTACCAGCGTGCTAACTAGAATTCTACCTTTGGCTTCCAGAGAGGCCAGCACCCCCTCGAGATATGATGGAGGCCTTGCAGCAAAGGATGGACAGGTACAAGGTGGCGGCAACCCAGGCAAAGAGCAAAGGAGAGGACAGGAAGGCCCGAATGCATGAACGGATTGTGAAGGTGAAGTGGCTGCACATTGTGACTTTGGATGTTCATTTGTTGCACCATGTTTAGGAGCAGAAGCCTCAGGGCGTAACTGGGAAGAGCAAGTAATGCAGAACTGGAAATTCTAGAATGTGCTCTGCTTTTTCCTATTGTCTCCCTGTGGAAAGATATGGTGGAATTATAGGTCCCATTAATTGCACAGATACTGCAACCATGCAAGACTCAGGTTTTGCTCAAAGGAGGAGCTAGTGGAGATTAAAACAGCCTCATGCTTTTGTTAATATGCAGTAACTAAAATCA